TAACTGATGTCAATACATTACACAAGGGAAACCACTCAAGTTTCAAGTTCACCTAACCAAGTAAGCAGACTTGAGACTGAAGTAGAAGAAGTGGAGCACTGCCAGCTCAATGGAAACCCTTTGTAATGTTTGAGCTGTTTGAGTTAACCTTACCTGCTGAAGAAGCGAGGATCACGGAACATTAGAAACTACCTATAACTCATATATATATAGTTAAGCTTGAATCTGTTAAGTAACTGAATTTCTTCAAGTGAAGTTTACAGTGTAAAGACTACTCTGTGGGCCAGAGCACCAATCTGGCAGCCCACCCTTTATACTGAAGCAGCCCCTTTGTATGTGTGGAGAGTCGTTAATAGTTTTTATGTGTGCTGTTCTTAAATGTGTTCAGTAATTCACACTTATCACACTGTACACAGACATCATGATTAGATTATCTGAGCTCAGTATCTGTCCTTTACATTGTGTGAAAACTGAATGATGATTGGACCAATAGAAACGCTCCAAAATTGCTTATATTTAACAATTGCCCAAAGTTTTATCATACACTTCTATAACATAAGAACAACTGAGCCAGTTTGCATTGAAGTCCCTGTAGTTGCTGAATAATAAGACTTAGTATGTAATAAGCCTGGGATTATAAGGGGTTAACTTACATTGAAGGTAAGAAACTTTTGCTCTTTCCTGTACAGTTAAAGTTTTGGAAATACTTGTTTTTCTTTGGACAGCAGCAATATATTTGGGGGGTAGTCCACAAATTGATAAAAAAAAAAAAGTTAAAATCATTTCTAAACTTCAGGGGTATCCAGTGGATGGACTTTAGGATGTGAGTAATATGGGCTGGTGGTCTTGGTGAGAACAAGTGCAGCAGCCGGTCAATCAATTGTAATTTATTACTGGATTTCTTAGGGTGACCTGAAAAAAGATTATTACAGTTGTCCAACCTACTAATTATAAAAGCATGAATAAGCTTCTCTCCCTCCACATCTAAATCAGTTTAGAGCAGAGGCAGAAAGGCCAACTCATGTTTGCAGCCTATCAATTAACACATTATCGATATATTATGGTAAACAGTCAAAAACTGTACTTAAATCTAAAAAATGAGAATTGAGAGCATTTTGTCATCAAGATTGAGTCTAATGTCCTTAAGAACAGTAAGTAAAGTGGTTTTGGTAATATGATGCTCATGCCAGACTGAAATGTCTGAAAAACAATTTCATTATATATATATATATATATATATATATATATATATATATATATATGCTTCTATATAACTAGCAGCTTGAGTACTTGTATAGCATATATATGCTTCTATATAACTAGCAGCTTAAGTACTTGTAACTGAGGTACTCCCCATTACAAGAAGTAGGTCTGATAAAGGACCTGAAAACGTGGCCTGATAAAGGTTCCATACAGGGTCAAAATTGCAACTGTAACTGGAACCTCTGTACCAGGAAAATGAAACAGTTATCATGAAATTATGGTGTGGTCTCTATTTAGAAAGATTCCATCTTTACTGAGACAACCTTTGAATGGTGCTTCACCCAATAATGACAGTCATAAAACAAAGTGCTGGAATGCAGAAAGGGAAGGGAGGAGAAACTAGGAGGCTCTATAAGATATAACAAGGGGTGTTACAAGATTTTTACATTCAGAACAAATGTTTGGAACTTGATAAGGTTGATAATGTGAGATCTGAATGATTTTGGGCACAACTTACTATGGTTTAAAATGTAATATAGATTTTTATGTAGTTAAACAGGATCAAGAAGAATGTGCTTTCAAAGCATGTAAACAAATCACCGCAAAAGCTAGCTAGGCTAAAGTACAGCCTGCATATGGCAGGGTTAGTCTTAACTGTTACAACTAAAGCCGGACGTACACTACATGACTTTTAAAATCCTAATAGATTTTGAAAATGTAGAGCATCACAGTTTATGTCGACTTTTTTTTTGGCTGGGGCACTTAAAAACAAGTAATAACTAATAACGCGTTTTGGCAAAATAAAATTTGACTCGATCATCCACCTCTTCAATTGCTTTCGACTGAGCTTCTGAAAAAAATCGTCGGATTTGTCGGAAGTGCAAATTGTGAAGTGCGAATTAAAATTGGGCTCAAAGTTTTATTACACACTTCTATAATGTAAGAATAGCTTAACCAGTTTGCATTGCAGTCCTTAGTTACTGAATAATAAGCTTCAGTATGTAATAAGCCTGGGATTTTAAAGGGTTAAGCCCCCCAGAGTAAACTAGTGTAAAAAAATATTTAAATTTAATATTTGAAAAAAATATTCATCAAACCCCAAATTGTTGCTCCTAAAAATGAATGTCAAAAATGTTCTTTGGAGCGATACCACAGAATAACCACTTTTGATTCCCTAAAGAGCATTTTTTAAGTATTAAAAGAGATGAATAAGAGCAAATAGTCTTTCATAAAATTAAAGAACTTCCACAAAATGTAGTTTTTATCATTTTATTTTACAGATTTAATAGTCTTTTTTTGTAAAGAAAGAAACATTTTAAGAAATGTACTTCAATACCAATTTTTAAGACTGTAGGTAATAATACACACACAGCTTTTGGTGGAAAGTTGTACAGTTCAGTACCTTGTGGTGTAATTATGCTGCCAACGTGCAGACTGTACAGCTTAGGACTCTGGAGCAATAGAAAAGAGTACTCTCTGTGTTTTCCGTAATGATGACATGCTGTACATGCAACATCTGACTACTGTGATTACATCACACTGCCACTCCTGCGTAATTATCACAGTATAACTAAATGGCTAATAATTGGCCCAGGTTTTATTATCACACCCACCAGCCCCACACCCTGTTTCTACATACATCAATACATATATATACATAGGAGTGCACTTCTGCATATCCGCAGAGAGACAGTCTTTTCTAGAGGAGTCACACAGAGACACAGAGTGGGATCTCAATCCAGAAGGTATGAAAAATGACATAATAACATTCAGTTTTAGACTGTATCATTTTTTATTTGCTCTCAGTGTTACAGTAACTGGTTTATGCATCTATGAGATGATGATCTGAATTCAGGACCATAACCACAACTATCTTCCAAGATTCTTCAGTTATGAGTAGAAAATGCATTTTTAAATTCTTAAATAAAAGAAATCTATGAAATTCTATTAAAATGAATTAATCTGTTGTCAATCATTTTTAACCACTTTCTCCACAGACTTATTTTTTCAGAAACTACAAACTATGTCATGAATAAAGTGATGTATTTTTTGGTTAAGTTTTCTAATTTTGGTTAATCTGGTTGATGTGTGGTACTCTTTCCAAATGTTGCGTGCCTTTAATAATATTGAAGTATTATTTGTTATCTGTATATGCTTTTAAAAGTTATTTGTTATCTATATCTGCTGTTAAAGCATGACTTGTAGATCATATTTGGTAAATATGTTATAAATGTGTTGTGACGGGACAAAAAATTGAGGATGTGCCTTGTGATACAAAATATCTGATAAAACTTTCACGCAGGTAATTAACAGGTAATCAACATGTGCCATGCTAATCATTCTGAGTGTCATTCTTGATTAGATCCAACTTTCTCACTGCATACTGAATGTTTTTTCTTCACCTACATGCTGTACACCAAAACTTTCTTAATGGCTCTTGGAGCAACTATGTTTTGGCTAAAGGTGAGATTAACAAGATGCAAATTTTTTGGAACAAAAGTCCACAGTAAAGTCCACACCAAAAAAAAAAGGTCACTACTTATATCTGTGCTCCCAAGCTCAGTTTCTGGAGGTAAACATATTGCTGCCATAACATGGACCATTTCTGTTGGTCCAGTCCTCATGAAATATTCACATGAAGTAAAGGCCAGCTTATGTTTTTAGATAGTGTAAAAACAAAATGTGAAAAATAAGGATGCATGATGATATCATAATCATATCAGTATTGGCAAATAATTGTTTAAAATAATTTGCAGCATCTGACTGTTGCTCAGATTTGGCCAGTAATTCAAATCAATATTTAATGAATACTAATCAAGCGTAGAACACTTAGATGATGCTGGGCTACTGCACTGAACTACCTGCATTTTTATTAATTTTACTGCACTCATAATGAAACTCTACAAATGTTATATTTCTCCCTAACGATAACATTTTTTAAAGGTTAATGAATTGTTCTTGCCAATCAAATGTACAGAATCACTGTTTTCAACATTAAACCAGTTTTGCTTCACATAAATGTAGCAAAGGATTTTATTACGATGCTACTACTGTACAACTTCACAAGTTTCACATGTTTAGGTTAAGAATGAAGTTATACTGAAACTAACATCAAAAATTCCTTTTATTTAAGTGATAATCAAACCTCAGGCCGATTATCAAAAAATGACTGTAAATAAATATCTACAGTATATTATTTAATATCTTCTCAAAAAGCTTGAAATACCCTCTAGTGTCTAGCTTATAGTATTTCAATCTACACTGTATCAATTATTCCAAATCATTTTTAAACTTGTAAATGGTAATGTACATACATGAAAAACACTGAATATCAGCATGTGTTTCATCAATGAAAAAACAGACTGACCAAGACAAATGAAAAAGTTTGGGTGCCCCCGATCAAATTACACATTTATACAGTTACACATGTTGGTTTTCTAAGTGAAAACAAGTTAACACATCCTTTAGAGAGAACACATTTCTACACATTTTAATGCACAACTACAGTTTATTTGCTGAAAAGACAAAAATTAAAACACAAAATGGAGTCTGTGCAAAAGTTATGTCACATTTTACATTTTGTGTTTTATTTTTTCCAATATGTGAAACTCAGCAATAGACATTGTGCACTAAAATTTGCAGAAACATGCCATATTTAAGCTTGTTTGCTGTGGAGAATGTGTTAACATGTCATTTGACCAGGGGGGTTCAAACTTTTGCATGCAACTGAATTTACAAAATGCTATTTACAGGTAATACTGTAACAGCAGACATATTTTATTCTGTTTTAGCTGGAG